TATAATACAAATATTTATTGTTATTATTATCATATATAGCATTAAGGTTTAATATAGGCTTATGATATATTTATATACTTCATAGTAGCTATGTTAGACTGCAGTGTAGGACTTTTAGGATCACATTTTAGACTAAAAAGAAGAAACAAATGCTAATGTTAAATAAAGTAGGGATAAATACAAAAACGACGTTTTTGTTTTGTTTTGTTCAAGTAGATATTTTAGCTTTTGTGCCCATAAAAGTTTTCATTTATGACTGTGTCAGCTTTTATAACTTTTGTCAAGTTCAACCTGAGAGGGCGGGCTGAAACAACAGATGTGTGAGTTTAGAGCGGCCTCTAGTGGAAATGTGTAGTATTTCAAAAATACATGACAGCGGTAAAAACGACATGTGTTACGAATTATTTTGGGTTTCATTGGAGAATTGGGCGGAGCACACGTGAATATTCGAGAATTTTAATTCACGCTCCTTGTATGTAAGCAAAAAACGTAAATGTATTTCTAGCGTTGTACAATCTTATGCCTGAACTGCATTTGTTCATCATTTCGTACCAGTTTATAACATTTTTATTAGTTAGCCGTTCACATTTTTGTGCACACAAACTTTGCACGTTTTGTGCAGTCGTCCCTGACTGAATGATTGCTTTCTTTGATTGGCATTCTTTGTGTAATGTTAGGGTAAAGCACAGCAAACCTCAGCTAGTTCATTTCAGTTCGATGTGCTCTTAATTTGTAGCTTTCAATGCTTTAAAACGGTCTTTTATTAATTATCATTTGTTGAATACATCACCGCCTGCAACAAATGAAATAAACCTTTATAAATGTATCTGTGGACATATTTTTTTGGGATGATCCATGTGTTTACCTTGTTCCAAGTCAGACTATTCAACATTCTCCATGTTGTCTGGTTGTAAACTGTCACAGGCATACACTGCTACAAAAAAATGTTGCTGAAATTTCATTGTTTTTTCATGTTTCCAATATAAAACATTTAAACTTTTACAAACAAATATCAATTTACAAGTGAAGATTAACACACGGTTTAAGGTTCCATCTCAGAACATCTGGATGATTACATCTACACTGAATTAGTGACATGTGCACCAACTACTGTTTCAATTATTTATTGCAACGCTCTTCTGTTACCTTTTAAATTTGAAACAATCTTCCTCTGGCAATGAATTAAATAACATTCACCACCATATCAGTGGCCTAATAAACGTTTTGCAACCTACACTGATGTTATTCTCTGTCATCTGTTCTTTGACCATGTGTTGCACACCCGGATGATCACTGATACAAATGCATGGTTTATTTTGATGCATATCATATACTCATTCAACATAATGTCAATAAGTTTCCTAAACATATATATTCTTAATTAGGTTTTAATTAGAGGCACTTAATTGGTGTGTTTGATATTATTTGAGACACTGACATTTTGTTTTTAAAAATATGAATTCAATAGTGATTCTAAAAAAAAAAAAAAGTGACGTGACATGTGGCCAAGTATGGTGACCCATACTCAGAATTAGTGCTCTGCATTTATCCCATCCAAAGTGCACACACACAGCAGTGAATACACACACCGTGAACACACACCCGGAGTAGTGGGCAGCCATTTTTGCTGCGGCGCCTGGGGAGCAGTTGGGGGTTCGGTGCCTTGCTCAAGGGCACCTCAGTCGTGGTATTGAAGGTGGGAGAGAGCGCTGTACATTCACTCCCCCCACCTACAATCCCTGCCGGTACGAGACTCGAACCCACAACCTATGGGTTACGAGCCCGACTCTCTAACCATTAGGCCACGACTTCCCCTCAAAATCCAGGAAATCGTTAGCCATGGAGGATGCAATTAATAAACTAAAGTTTTCCTGAATTTTAAGTATGAACCACTATTGAATTCTTGTTACAAACTAAAAAGATTTTTATGCACCAAAACAAGACAACATAGGAGACAAGAGAGTGTGATGTAAACACCCTTGTTGAATCTGCTGGTAAAAAAAAAAAAAATTATTCCAAGATCATATTTAAGATATGTAGCCTAAAAATTTCTAAACTTGATTCTGGCATTTGATTCATCATGACATTATTATATTACTGTTTTTGACTATATTTTTAATCATATAAATGCAGTTGGTGAACATGAACAAAGAACCTTACAAAAACCTAATACAAAACCTTTAAACAGTAACAACAGGCACAAGCACACTTATGAACATTTGTAAATAACATTTTGCTAACATCAAATTAGTTGCTTATTCTAATCCATAAAATGCTGTGAAGTATTTTCTCATTTACTGTGTAGCAAAATGTAAGCCATTTTTTTGCACTTTTGTCCATACAATTTTGTTTAATCCAAAATTTTACTTATGTATTAAAGGAAAACGTTCATGCTTGTGTGTGGTCTTAGAATCCTGTTCACTTTGTTAATATAAGCCAAAGTTTAAGAACAGTCACACCAGGATATGAAAAGTTATTAGTTCACAGATACAAGTTTATTTCAGTTGTTGCACTCAAATGATAACTAATAAGCTACAGCACAACGAAGTGAAATAAATGTATACTAGCTGAAGTTTGTTGTGATTTATCCTAACATTACACAAATTATGTCTGCAATCATTCAGTCAGTGACGGCTGCACAAAACATGCAAACTAATAAAACTTTATAAACTGTTGCGAAATGATTAGGCATAAGTTCCTTTTTAGGCACAAGTTTGCGCAATGCTGAATATATATATATTTACCTTTTTGAAATATCCTGTTAACCCTATAAAACCAAAGGGAAAAAATGACTAATTACTAACTAAAAAATTTACTAATCATACTTTCCAAATCACTGCCTTCATTCAATATTTTCATAACTTACAAAAAAAAAATGTTTGTACTATGTTCTGAAATATGTCAGAAACATCATACAGCTCAGATAGTCATGTGTTACGTCATTTGAAAGGTCTCACCAAGTAGAATAAAACAACCATAATTGTCATTATTTTTTAGAAAATTCTCTTGATTAAAAAGGGCCCAAACTCACCATAATCTGTCATTTAGATCTAAAGATACTCCTCACTGAGTTATAACACACAAAACCCCAAAGGCGCATATGTTATAACTTTCACATGGGCTTTACCTTGTCATTTCACGAAACATGCTCCGATCATGGAAAATAGCACCATTATTTACAGCAGATTCTCATGATTAAAATGAGTACAAAATCAAAACAATACATTGTATCTTTCATGTGTAAATATACCTAAACCTATGAATTGAATACATCAGTTGGAGAGCTTTATTAAACACTTGGCGAGCAAAATGTAAAAACAAGCATGTTCCTGTCTATCATTTTATAACTTTTTTATATAACTATAGGTACCATTTTAAAGCTTAGAAATTCAGATTTCGAATGCATCCAACCTTTTTTTATCAACTCTTAACAAGTGCTAAGTAGTCCCTCTAAGGCCATGTCCACACGTACACGGGTATTTTTATAAACAGAGTTTTTCCTTCCAATCATTCAGTCAGTGACGGCTGCACAAAACATGCAAACTAATAAAACTTTATAAACTGTTGCGAAATGATTAGGCATAAGTTCCTTTTTAGGCACAAGTTTGCGCAATGCTGAATATATATATATTTACCTTTTTGAAATATCCTGTTAACCCTATAAAACCAAACGGAAAAAATGACAAATTACTAACTAAAAAATTTACTAATCATACTTTCCAAATCACTGCCTTCATTAAATATTTTCATAACTTACAAAAAAAAAATGTTTGTACTATGTTCTGAAATATGTCAGAAACATCATACAGCTCAGATAGTCATGTGTTACGTCATTTGAAAGGTCTCACCAAGTAGAATAAAACAACCATAATTGTCATTATTTTTTAGAAAATTCTCTTGATTAAAAAGGGCCCAAACTCACCATAATCTGTCATTTAGATCTAAAGATACTCCTCACTGAGTTATAACACACAAAACCCCAAAGGCGCATATGTTATAACTTTCACATGGGCTTTACCTTGTCATTTCACGAAACATGCTCCGATCATGGAAAATAGCACCATTATTTACAGCAGATTCTCATGATTAAAATGAGTACAAAATCAAAACAATACATTGTATCTTTCATGTGTAAATATACCTAAACCTATGAATTGAATACATCAGTTGGAGAGCTTTATTAAACACTTGGCGAGCAAAATGTAAAAACAAGCATGTTCCTGTCTATCATTTTATAACTTTTTTATATAACTATAGGTACCATTTTAAAGCTTAGAAATTCAGATTTCGAATGCATCCAACCTTTTTTTATCAACTCTTAACAAGTGCTAAGTAGTCCCTCTAAGGCCATGTCCACACGTACACGGGTATTTTTATAA